TGAAACTCCCAAAACAACCTCAAACAGACTTGCAACTGTCAATAGCAACAGGATGAGAGTAATGACTGTGACATAAAGTCTGAATGGTTATCGACTGTTGCCAGCTAAAAACCTCTAAAGAGTCTCTCCCATGTTAAATGTTGGCACACAGCACGCAGCCTGAAGCACAAAAGCCAAGCAGTGAGAATGAAATAGCTAACAAGCAAATTAGCAGCTAAATTCAGTGTTAAAAGACAAGTCCTTGAGTTGAACTCCCTGTTCTCAGCTATAAATTAAAGTCTATATTTCTGCCTGGAAACGTTAAGGCTTTATGTTGCTCTTATTTTTCTTATTGATGGGATCTGTGACAGCTCTGGTCTAAAGCCATTGTTTTAACACTAATCATTTTCAATATTTTCACGCCAAGAAATGTTTAATACCTTTTTAGGATAAAGGAATTTTTATGTTGCTATACCTCTGAGAGCATCTTGTCTGTCTGTCTGTGCTTCCAGTGCTGGACCAGCTCCTGATGGAGCTCCACCGCTTCCTCCTCATCCTGGACAAGGAGACCCTGAGTGGGAATGCTACCATCCAGAAGGGCCTGCTTTCCGATCTCCTTCAGTCCTACAGAGCCTCTAATGGTATGAAGGAAACACTCAAATATAATGTATATATACAGTATGTACAGTGGAGCACTCATTTGCATTATAAAAATGGGATCACTGATGGGCTTAGTTTTCTAAACAGTTTAGTTATGAAAGCATCCACTGAATCAAGCTAAGTTCAGTGGACAGTATGTGCCTGTAGATAATGTCATCCCCACCTTTACAGGGTTAGTATCACAACTTTGCATTCTAGATGAATAATGACCTAGTTCTCAGTTTAAATTACATTCAGGAACTGAGTTTGGTGGATATTTTGGGGAAATCTTGTGTATGGGCAACTAAAAATAAAGACCAGGAGGAAGTGAAAGATTGCAAAAACGTTTTATTTTTATTTAGTCATAACACAATAGTTGTATTAGGAAGAGAGGAAGAGAAATGATTCTGCCTGGTTTAGAAATGAGTAGTTAAATATATTCGGAAGTCCGAACAATGTTTAATGTATTGTAGAAGCAAGTTTTAGTTAAATCTCACCATACTGAGGAACTGAGGAACGGTCGGAATTTTCCCAGAATGTTGTTCGATTGTGTAAACCGCAGAGCTCGAAGACACTAGTTTCTCTTTTCTGGGGTTATTTCACTGTAAGACAATCTTTCATTCCTCAGAGTGATAACATCTTGCCCACTCTGTGTTGTGAGTTTACCTCCCACAAAGACTTACTGTAGAGTTCCAACTCCAATAATAATGATTAAATCGTTATATTTGATAACATATTTATTAGCAAACTCTCAGATACTAATGCCCAGTATAGGCCAATAGGTATGTTATCAGCTAAAGGTGAAGTATTTGCGGTATGAAGAAGAAGGCCATTTCCAATCATTTCTAAAACATAAGTAGTCTCAAACATTTACTCAGTGTTCTTTATTTATATTTCCTTTCTTTATATATAAGTTGTGGTTTTGTGATTGCATGACATTGATTGAGGTTTAACCACAGATGTTTAATTTTACATTCAAAAGCTTATGATTGGCAGTTAGTCTGCCTTGATGCAAGCACCTTATGTAACATGCGGTCATGTCCTGCTTTTCCCACAATTCAATGAGCTTACATTGTCAGCCTTTTGGCCTAAGAGAAGCTATCGAGCAAACCCACTCTGGTATTATTTTGCTCTTTTAAACTCTCAGTAACCACTATGTAATAATTATACTCTTGCAGGCTTCTATTAAATACATTTGGGGTCTTTCATCCCATTTTCGGTGGCTGAAAACCACATTGTGGTGGCCGAATTAAATATTTATGCCTGCATTTTTACGTCCCTTGCAAATTATCAGATTGATGTCCTTTGTTTTGTGAATGTTTGTGGTTATTAGTTTTATGCTTACGAGCAAGCTATAATCAAACAAAGTGCCTCTTGCTTCGTTATAAAATGATGCATGGTCTGTTAACGTATCCTGTCAAACAGCTAAGGACAGGTTTGTTTTTCTTGCTCACTGGCTCTTACACTCAACATGAAAATGTGGCAGCTGCCTGGCTGATGTGATTTATGGTGGCCTGGTAGTCCATTAGTTAGGATGTGAATTAGTGCTAAACCAAGCCTCATCCCCTAGGTGTGTTATTAATTGGGAACAATAAATGACACACTGCTGCTATTTCAGAAATATAATTTTTGTGGTGCAGAGTAGAATTGCCAACTTTTTATTTTGATCTCTTTAACAACATACCGGCCATTTTGTTTTCTGACCCAGTTATTTTACATCCACTGTCACTTTTAGATAGAAAAAGCTAATGAGGGTTTTGCTATTTCCCTCCCTGTCTTTCTCACCAACACACACCAGCTAGCAGTCATGCTTTTCCATGTTCAGGTCCTGGACTCGTCTCTCCATACTTCCTCTCCTGGCTCCAAGCTGTATCATTTTTCCGAAGCTGCATTTATACTCCGGGGACGCTCACTTCCTTTGAGCAGCGGTTTATAAATAGCATTTCAAACTCTGTTCCCCGAAAAATCTGTTTTCACTGTACAGGCAAAACATCGTTTCATTCTACTGTTGTTTGATTTCACCTCACAATATCTATTTCAAAGGAGAAACCTTCTCCAGAGTATCACCCAATGTTAAGAGTTTTGTTTGATTTCCTCTCAGGGTATAATCTTAGTCAGCTAAAATATTTAATTCAATTAAAACAACCTTCCTCAAAACTGCGCTCCGGAACAAATTCCCATAACAGGTTACAGTAACCAGCTGGAGACTGCTATGCCAAAACCACAGAGTTTATTGTTTGAGAAAAGACATTCATTCAAACTGTTTATGTGGCAATGTTATGGCGTTGTCTTTGCCAGCTTGTAATTACTCCACCATGTTAAGGCCGACTTTAAACCAAACACAGTCCTTTTCTCACTAAGCTGACTTCAGTGTTGGTGTATGACACGAGGTTTCATCATCTCCTCTTATTTCCTAAATGATACCATTGCTCACACTGACCCATAAATATTTACATTGGAGTGCAAAGAGAAGTCAAGCTCAGTCTCTAATGACAGCCCTGATCAAGCACTTAGACTCCTAATCACTGTGCTTTTATTGTTGTCACAGGAAACCACATTTATGACTATAATTATAATATTTTCTTATTTTTTACTTTAATTGAATATTGCTCTTTATTGCCTTTTATGCCAACAACTACAAAAAAAATATGCTTTTGGACCACTTGTAAGTCTTTTTGTGGATATAAATTCCATGGAGATATTGAGAGGAAGTTTAACTTAAAACTAAATCATCCTTTTTGGTCACAATGTGAACTCTTTGGAAGTCTAGGCTGGTCTTAGGAGATCGATTGTATATTTAGTTGTACAATCTTCAAAACTTCAAAGATAGAAGTGACACAGTGCTCTATCTGTGCAGGCAAGGAGTTTTCTGAGTAATGTCTGATGAATGCCTGCCACGGTGAAAGTGGGTGTCAATAATGGGCCCATCTGTCTGCACAATAGGCCACTTGTTTGGGTCAAGTTCCCATTTATTCCTGGACTTGTGACAAACATGATGAAAGTTTGTTTGGAACTAAGGTGGAGTCAGATTTTCCCTGTTGGTGCTACAAGTAAATGCCTTCGGAAGCAAAATATGCTCTAGTTTTGTTTGGATGCAAGTTACTTTGTGTGCATTATATGGAGAGGTCTGAAAGATATTCATTATAGTGCAACACAACTTTAAGAACTTTTTTTAGCATGTGATTGGAGATTCAATTCAGTAAGATTCACATCAAATGAGCTTTTATCGCGTATGATTCTCATCTTAAATCTGACGACTAATCATTCATCAAAAAGTTTTCGCGACAATGCACTAGCCTGAGTATACCGTATAGTGAAGGTGGGCAACTTTTCACAATAAAATCCAGAGGGTTTTGGGAGTCAAAGAACACTTAAAGTTCCTGTATGTTTAGTTTAAATAAAGGGAAAATAATTACTAGATTGCATAACCATGCTTGGAGCTCTGATTTGTAGATTAACTGTGCATAGGGTGTTACTACAGATGAAAAACATGCACATCTAACCTGTGTCTAGTGTTTTGTTGAGTGGTTTTTGAATGTCTTCTTCTAGTGTCTACACTTCCCTGAAGTAACACCGTTTGTTCTGAAGTATGCTGACTGTTAACCTCCTTTGGTTGTCTCCACGTAGGTGCTGATGAGGAGTATATCTACATGAACAAAGTCATTGTTGGTGGAAAGGACAAAGACGAGAAAGGTGTGAGTTTCAAAAGGTTCCTCTCTGAAGTGTGATACTGATACTGTGAAGATTTACTTCCTGAAAGGTTGCTGAAATATAATCTATAAAGAAACTATTTCAATCTTCATATTTAAAGAGGGATAATGACACAATGTATCATTGCAACCTGGAACTTTTAAAAAAGGGCTCCTAATGGTATTTCGAGGTTGTCCAAGTCGGTCAAATATAATTGCATACTTGTTGTGCTATTGCACCTCATGCTCAATTTGACATGATTCAAGTGAAAGCAGACAGAATTAGCTGCCACAAGCAGCCCCTACCCC